GAAGAAGAGTATACATATATCCCCGAATCCGTTATTGTATATGTAGCTGTATAGTTCTTATCAAAGAGTAGCTATTAGTAGTTTCGTCTCTCTTTAAAAGAACTTATTCCGCTCGAAAAGTACTCGGATTATGTAAATAAAACACACAAATTTAAATTTTATTCCAAATTTATTTTATCTCCTTCAAAATATGCTTCTTCTAAAGCGATACATATATGCCAACGCTTAACCCAATATTCCATACACTTTTCGTAGGCCCGTGAAGGTATGGTTTTTAGTTCCTTCGGCGAATTCTCTCTAACCGATTCAATCGACTCAAAAGGTTTACCACGAAGGGCAATTTAAGTTTCGGGAACAGGAAAAAGTCACACGGCGCCAAATCTGGCGAATATGGTGCCTGAGCGATGACAGTGGTGTCGTGTTTGGTCAAAAAATCGCGTACAATAAGAATTATCCATGGTAAAAATCGCTAAATGCACTTGAGGTAGTCTCACATTAACAGCTGCTGTAAACAAACTAATTGACAGATGAGACTCGAATTTGTACCATATGTCAAGAAAGGGTGTACCGACATAACAAAAAAAATATTTTTTTAAAAGGTCTATTACTTAAGGAGTAGTTAACAAACAACAAAATCTGGATACTTTTTGAGCAGCAGGTATTTGCTTTAAGCATTTTGGAAAAGTATTGGATAGTTAAATGAATATTTTGGGCAACTACCATTTTCAATAACATTATTTTACATTATAAATACTTAAAGTACTTGTATTAAGAATAGATCAAATGACTAATAAAACCTGTTCTAGAATCAAAGTAAAAGGCGTCTCCCTTTTACTTAATGTCACTCAAGTTATTATGAGCATGTATAAATAACCATCAAGCTGATTCCATTTCCATGATCATAGCAACGAAAACCTTGAAAGTTATAAGTACAATGGTAATGTACTGACTATCAAGATCCCTTGTTCAAGATAGGATAGAGTTGGACTAATTTGAACAATTCAAGTGATAATAAAGCGATCGGTGTCTCTTCAAGCGACATCGAACTGAAATCAAATACATTTAGACAATTAAGTAGTTAATTTTCTTGATTGTCTCGAAAAATCACTTCAGACACATCGAAAAATTGTTTTGCATTCTCCTGACTACTTTTTAAATGGTAAAATAGATACATAGAAAACTAGTTTAAGTGAGATATGACTGGCTGACTAGAAAGAGCCTCAAGTAGACCAGCAAATGGGAAAAAGCACCGCATCTGCAGTAGAAGATTAGTAGACTGCAGTAGTGTCACAACTCTTTTTCTAATGCGACATCTTAAGGCTTTTTGGAGTTAGCAAATGGAAAAGTTGATCCATCTAAAGAAGAAGATTAGCAAAGTGCAGTACTCTCGCAATTCGTCTTCGAATGTCACATCTTAACCTATGAGCTAGGAGTCGCTTAGAAATACTTCCCATAGTCTTATCAATACTGGACGCTGGTAGATAATATACTCAACTACAGTACTTTCGCAACTCATTGGAAAAAATGCGACATCTTAAGCTGTGAGCTACGAGTCGCTGAGAAATAATTTCCATAGTTTCATCAATGCTGGACAGTAACAGAGAGTATGCACTATAAAGTAATCTCGGTACTCTTTTCATTGATATCATTAATATCATCTAACCCCGAGAGTTACGAGTAGTTTAAGTAATTTTGGTTTTATCTGATCAGTGCTAAATACTGGCAAATAATATGGGCCACCGATTTCCTTGAGTTATGATGAAGTAGAAATTTATTAAAGTAGTCTAAAAACAAAATCAATGTTATCATTATGAAACAATACTAATACTTAATGTGCTTATCCTTAAAGTATGTAGCGCTGAACTTAATTTCATAGCAGTTTTTCGCCTGATTAACATTTACACAACAACAAACTCACAAATTACTAACAAAATATAAACCAACCTCAACTAAAAAGCATTTCCAAAGCAATTTAACTAACAAATCTCACATTTTGACTGCGAAAATAATAAACTTTTTAAGTCTCCACCCCAGCCAACACTCTGAACTGAATAGTTTTTGCAGTGATAGCAAAAAAAAAGAAAAGAAAGTGTAGTGAAAGTGGAGGAGAGAGTAACTGTAATTATATACGTCTGTCATAAAATATAAAACTTCAAATTTAAGGCTCCGTTGGCTGGAGTGGGTGTACGAGTATGAATGGCATAGGAGGTGAGCAAATAGGTGGGTTGGTTGGTTGGCACAAAGCATTGTTGGCAAATGTATCTATGGTATGTATCTATGCTGTAGCTGATATGCTTGTTTATAAGACGAAAACTTATTTTATCATTTTTGGTTGTTATTTTGTTTTGTTGTTTGTAGAAAATTTCTTGTCTGAAATGAAAAACGCAATGTTACTTTCGGAAAATGCCATTGGCCCAATTACAATAAACGAGTGTTTCGAAAAATAATACTTTTGCGAATTAGTGTGAGTGTGTTTTGTAAGATAAACGACAAGGATTCAAAACAAAATTCACATGGTAACATGGGGTTAGGCAACAAGATTGCCAGTCTCTGACTGTGGCTGTAAGGAAGCAGTATAAAGTCTTAAAATACTGCAAAATCTATAGCGGCAGTGAGACGCGCTACTAAATGGTATGAGGCGAAAACTTTTGTAATAGACGCTGTTCGATGTGATATATACAAAACTCGTTATCACCGATAAAACTTTATAAACAAACGACTGAAAATGTTGATTAAACGCGTGTAATTCAATGAGAATGAGTATGAAAATTACGATAATATAAGAAAATCTGACAAAATATTGTGCATTCATACATGGGAAAGTTGCACTTAACAGCACCCTTAAATCACTACAACAACAACATAAATAGAAGTTACGTATTTGAATCGAAATAATAATTAAATAAAGCAAATTTTTATATGAAAATGATGTACAACTTTAATAAATGTACACAATAAAAAATATATTAAAATCATTTAAAGTACAAAATATTCTTATAGAAACCCTCGACACAATGCTTTAAATGGAAAGGTGAAATCTGCTTACAGACAAGAGAAACAAAAACGCTTTATGCGCTTCTTATCTACAAAACAAACAAATTTTTCTCTTACTGAAATCTTCTTATTAATGTCTGTAATCAACGATAATGAAAGGAAAAAAAAACTCAACGAACATAAAACACAAAATTAAGCAAAATAATACACAGGACCCCCATCATCCTGGCTTCTGCAAGGACATGCCAGGTAAATGTTTGCGTTACATCTAAATAAGTTAATGAATTGCAGCTTAAGTATAGCAAAATTTAGCTTAACTTCTGATAAATTAACTTCATAATCTGCACAGTTATAATCGCTGATGTTAGCATCACTCTTCCACATTAAATATTGCCAACCTACCAACCTGCGTACGGATACCATCCCTGCGATTGAACTTGCTTACTTTACCACCTTTTACGGGGTAGTAAAATGAAGGGCAAGTGAAAAAAATATTTAGTGATTTAATTGAATGTTCGCCCCGCCTGCAAAGGGCATCCATTACTATCTGTCGAAATGGTAACAGTTGCAAATTTAATAGCTGTCAAAAAATGATTGTGAGTTTAATTAGAAATATTAATTTTAAATAAGGAATGAAGGACGAGGAAGCATGCTGACGCAGTAAAAGCTTGTAGTTGAAACTACATGATTCCTTAGTTGACTTAAGTGACTTGGAAAATACACAATTATTTTAGTTTATATTGTGAACATTAATTTTTTGGTACATTTATAGCCAACTGTTTTCTGCTGATAATTGCTAAAGGATCTAAAGGATTTCTGCGTTATTAAAAATTAGATAAAATTATTTATAACTTTTAACATCTTTGTTTATTCTTCTAGATTCATATCATCGCCATCAAAATACATCAAAATATTAGTAATCAAATAATAGTTGATTTTCAGTATTGCTCACAAAACGCTTAACGAATCGGTTTTATCTAATCGGTCATGTCTAAGTAGTGTCCACTAACCAATTTATTTAAAATAATTTTTAAACAAATTATTTTGTTGTATATTATTTAAATTTGTAACGGTTTATAAACATACATATGTATATACAAGCTTTATATATAATCAAAAATATGTATAAATATGCAGAAGCATCTTAAGTTTCAACCCCATATTACTGGTTCCAACCGGAAGACTTGTACAGTTTGATGGCTAAGCTCTTTTCAGCTCAATCCTTAAAGGTGGTCTTATTTAATTAAAATCTCAGACGGTGACATACGGTTCTTGTGAGAGGAATGTAGCACTATGACCATCAGCTTTATTGTGCCTACTTCAAAGTACGTCCCTAAGCCCTGTTGCGTCAATAAAAAGTAGTGTAGAACTTACTTTACACACTTTTATTGCCTCTTCCGTAAGGATATCCATTTCCAGAAGACTATTCCGTGTGTGTATTAACCTAGGGCATTCCAACAGCACATATTTGGCTGAATTTTCATTTTCTGCACAGAATTTATAGATGGCATCCATATAGATGCGTAGTCTCGAAAGGTAGTGTTTTAGATTACAGTGTCCTGTTAAAATTTCTGTAATGATTGTAAGCTATTCTTTTAATAAGTCCATACAATTCTGGTATCTTCTATTGTTATAGGTATCAATAACTAATTTGCAGCAGCCCTAACCTAATATCTGTTGGATGACTGATGGTATATTTAAATATGGGTTCACTTGTTTATTTCTAATTATAATATTGGAAAAGATTCTGCAAAATGTAAAAAAAAATTGTACACCATCTTCGATCCAAAAACCTTGAAACCTTGAATTTAATAATACTTAAGACAGATCCTTTTAAAAGAAATAGGCTTTGATTGTTAAAAAAAAATATATATGTCATTTCAATAATTTTATTTTAAAATATATATTTACCGGTGTAAGTTAAAATATTTTGTCAATTTTCGTTTTAGATTTTAAAATTTTAAAAACTGCCTGTTAAAAATATCTAAAATTAATAAAAAAATTTTGGAAGTAATTATATACAAAATTTTTATTAGTCATTACGTGGTAATACTCCAAGTCAATAATATCGTATATAATATATAATAAATTCTGTAACAAAAATAATTTACTTGATTTTCAAGAGTTTTGGCAAATAAATTATAAAGTGAAAGGTTCTACAAGAACTGTGAAGTTAAAAATAAAAATTGCAATCTTTCAGGTTAGATATAATTAATTTTTCAATAAAAATAGATCATATTTTTTTTAATCTATTAAATTCAGTTTAATTAATTAAAATGTCATGTCCAAAACTTTTTGAAATTGCTTTGTGTAGATTACTTTTGGATGATCCTCACATCTGTACAAGGAAGGACTGCAAATAGTTCTATCAGGTTTTAAAGCATAGAAGTTGGAGATCCACGTGAAAGATATTGGTAAAATGGTCATTTTTTAAATATACTATCATCTGTCAATTTACAAAATGTCGACCTTTTAAAAAAATTCCTCTTCCTCAAATTCATTTCTCTTCCTAGCAGACAAGAAATTACTACACATTTTTTTTTGTCTATGAATCACAAGTAAAGAACATACGACACAATAAGGTGCTGTCACTAAATTGACAGTCTTTATTAGTTTAATACAATAAATTTATATATACTTTTGAATTAATTAAATTAAATCTGCTTTTTACTGCTTACAGTTTTTTCTTGGATTTTCGCAATGGAATTTGTTACTACCATTCTACCAACATACAACAATCCAAAAAAGTCATGTATTTACCCTCTCTTTAACAACTATCAGAATACACCTTGGTATAACATTTCGCTATATATATTCGGATTTACAATGATATCCCTGATAGTGTGGTGTATATTCCATGCGTGTCAAGATGAGCCTAAACCAAAATCAAACCAAACAGTGAACAATGACTTGTCACTATATGATTACTTCTTTGAAACTTTTGTTAGGCTACTTAAGACGTTCTTGCGTAGAGACCTTACGGATAATGATATGTTCTTCATTACAGAGACACTTAATAATAGCAGTTTGAAAGAAAGACTTCTGGTAGCACGAGAAACATTCTTGACGACAACAAGAACTGCTCAATGCTTTCTAATGTACAACGCGGAAGCCCGTGATTTGCTAAGAGAAGCTTTGTCGCTTTTTTATGGTAAAATTTATTTAAATGAACTATTAAAATAATTAACAATACTTTTCATAGCAAAATATGGATGTGAGGACAGATTTACTTAAGGAACTGATACACGTTTAGAACATTATAGTAAGACCTCAAATATATTTTAATAGAAGTTATCCTTATAAATTACTGGTAAGCTGTTACAGTCGTAGATATTTAATGCAAAATAATGTAAGCTTAAAGACAATTTTATTAATAAATGCTTATTCGAAAACAATTTCAAGTAGTTAAGTAAATTTTTGTAACTGTGGTTTATGCATTCTTGTTATTATTAGTGAATACGTTGGTGAATTAAATCCTTCTTAAAATCCTTCTGTAAAGTTTTGTACGATTGATTAAAAAATGTGCTCGAAGTATTTATCCTACCAACTGACTTCAGTTTGTCCTTCAAAGTTTAATTCTATTATCAGGTACCATGTAATCTTCTTAAAATCATCAGTCATCTAGCATCAGACTTTGAAATCATCTTAACCGCAACAACCTAATGTAGCAGTTAGTATTTTTATTATTTAATGCATACTGCATTCTACAGTAAATGTTTTAAAATATACTAAGATGCCAAATAGAATGATCTTAGTGGCCATTTAAATTAATAGTCAGGGAAGTGTCTCCGGCTACTAATCCGAAACAGATGCGTTGTTTAGCTTGCGATGTTGCAGTAATATTTTCTCCAAAGTATTGATCTTTCACATCCACATTTTTAGAACATGGAATATACTTCCATATTCTATAGGAATAATCAATTATAGTTTTAGTCACATAACTACCAATTGTGGATAAGAATTGACGATTTTAAAAAGTATGGGTGCCTACCACACTTCCAAATCATCTCTAGACTCAATGTTATACCATTCGGTGATATTTTATGAATACAATGATTAGTTTTGATAGTTACTTATGGTTCTAAATTGCTTCAAAAGTAAAAAATTAGTTTCATTATTAAGTAACAAGTGATGTAAAAAATTGTTACTAATCTTACAGTAAGGTTTCACAATTTTAGTTTGTTAAACATCGGTTAAACAATTCATTTTCCATGCCTTAAGTGACAGTTCTGTCATATCTACATTATTGTAGATACCAATGAATGAATAACTCTATACTAATTTCTCTAGAGGAAATGTGAGATAGAAATTATGTAGAGAAAAAACTAGTATCTTTGATATGTTATATATGAAATTTATCATTTAATTAATTTGTTTTATGAATTTATTAGTTCAATTTTACGCACCTTTTAAATTTAATTTTTAATATAGTAATAAAATAAATATTTAATATTGAAGTGTAAAAGTAAAGTACGGCATATAGTTCAAATATTTATAGTGAAATATATGAAAATAAAATAGTTTTTCCATATAAAACTTGTTAAATTATTTATAAAAAATATTAATAATAAAAAACTTAAGTGTACTACAAAAGTATTTACAACTTTAACTGTATACAAAATGTGACCTATAAATGCATTCATAGCTTAAATAAGGAACCTGTGCTCTTATACCAAAGGATATGCATAATATAGAGTTTACAAAGACTGCATGATTTATGCGTACACTGTGCAAAATATTATATATGTAAATTTTATCAAAAAGGAATTTAATCAGTGAGATATATAAATATTTTTAAGATTGTGAACATTTGCAACCTGGCATTATAAAACACATTTTACAACTAAATTCTCATATGGTTTACTCATATAAACTCATATATATGTCAATAATTTATTTAATTGTGTCACTTTTGATACATTAAAGATACTTTTTCTTGCTGTATATTTGGAAGAATAATCCTATTTCGTTTCATCTGAAGATGCTACAATTGTACGAGTTCGTATTTTACACACTCTGAAGTGCAAAAATAGATGCTGAAAACCACATAAAAACAAGAAAATACTTCACTGTCTAGTCTCTAAACTGGGTTTTTAATACAAAACCAATCCGAAATTCCACAAATTGTTATACATACGAAATAATAAATTTTTGTCTTCATCGATGTAAAGGATTTTGTAAAGAAGATAGTATTTTGTGTAATGTAAGCCTTTAACCAAGTTTGAAAATTTTTATATTGAAGACAAAAGTAGATACTTTGAAAATATATGAATACGAACGAGTATACCACTAATATTGGCGATGCCACTAATATACTAAACTAGTATATTAATTATAGTTTAATCTAGTATATGTAGATGTATTTTACTGTGAAGTTTTTAATATGTTGTTTTTTGATTAGGTGAAACCAAAAACCCGTATTTGGAAAAAAAAAATCAACGACAATTGTTACCATTAGTAATATTGTCAAAAATTAAGAAATAAAAAACATGTAATTTGCATCTGTTAAAAAATACATTAATTCTCAATAATTAAACATATAAACAATATAACCCATTATATCACGTATGCTTACTAGTATTTTAATAATGAAATTATTTTCTAGTTATAAGTTACTACCTCTATAATCTATAATGAACATGTATATAATTATATATATTAAAATACAAAACAATAATTAATATTAAATACTAATTAATATTATTACTATTTTTTGAACAAAATAAAGTTTATTAATATACATTATGTTATCATTGCTACTATATGGCCTAACAATGCCTTCACTGCCGAGCATATTAACTGCATTTATACTAACAACAACCACGATTGCGCTACTTTCAGTGCTTACACATTTTATCATACGCCAACCTCATATGAGATAAATATTAAATTTGAATAATGGTCACCAAGCGTGCCCATTAATATACTAATATACTTTAATATACTAGATATAGATGTATTATACTATGAAGTTTTTAATATGTTATTTTTTGATTAGGTTAAACCAAAAACCTTTATTTGAAAAAAAAAATCAACTACAATTATTACAACAAAATTGGTCGTATAACACTTTTATTATTCTTGTTACAAGTATAATCTTATATGATATCTACCAAATTCATCACATTTGCCTCTGTCTAAATTTTTTAAATCTCATTTTAAAGAAAATTGTTTAGTGGAAGAATATTTCAATCTGTAAGTATACATATTTAGAAGATCCCAAAGAATTATATGTTTCAAAAGTTTTAAAAAAAATTGATAGAACCTCTACATATAGTGGGAGTGCATAGTGGGGGAAGTGCATACTTTTTATGGAAATAAAAAACAAATATATTTCAGAAAATTAATTAAAAACTAAGCATAAATTATATTCTTTTCATATAATACTTTCTTTCCACTGACATACACTGGGTTCCAAAAATTTCATAAGTTTAAGAATAAATAAGAAAGATCTCTGAATCACGTCTAGTATGAAATGACCTGCAACCGCCATCAATGACAAAACGACCACGCTAATAAAACAGAGAAATTTATAATATTATATGAACGGTCCAACTGTTTTTAATCTAAAAAAACTAAAAAATTAGTTTATTTTCTTTTTATGAACGTACCTATGTACCTACATGTTTCTGCGGCCCATCAAGCTGCACAGTAACTTGCACTGATTCGCGATCGTATCAGATCTGGACATTTCTGCTTTTGATGACTCTAGTCAATGTCAAGTACTGCCTTTATATGCAATATAATAATATTGTCATATAAACCAGTTGGAAAAAAGAGACCAATTGGAAAAATAAATAATTTTATAAAAATACATCAAGCAGCTACCGTGTTTACTGATTATTCCATTGTTTTCGAGCTTTAGGAATTAATCAGTTAAATTTTATTAACTGATTAATATTATATTAATATTAGTTATCAAATTAATCAACGAATAAACATTAATTAACTGATTAAAATTTAATTAAAATTGTTTTAAAATTGTTATAAGCGATAACTGCTATATTAGCACAATATGTTGAATATAAAAAATTCGATATATAATAAAGTGTATTATTCTTAAATTATTAAGAAATTATTATTGAAAATTAATAAATAATTTATTATAAATAAAATTTATAAATTTAGCAAATATCTCTTATTTTATAGTGATTTTCTAATATAGATAACACATGTTTACTAATATTTTTAGTTGGCATACATTAGTTAAAAAAACGTCCACTTACCTCTGCCGCTGTTCTGCTTTAAATTATATTGGAATTAATAAGCAGTATTTTTTGTTTTGAGTAATTCCTTGTTTTTTTTTTGTTTTTTTGAAACATAAATAAGAAAATCAAACTTTGTTTAAAAACATAACGGTTTGGAGAACAAAAGCGTATAATTTTTATTGCATTAAACTGTTAATAAAAGTTTAATAGATAATTTGATATTTATTAATAATTTTAAACCAATAAAAAAACATAATAAGGGGCACAATTTTTATCACAGAAGTCGTTGATACATTGCAGCAATTATTTAAGCAATTATTTATTTAATTCTATTTAAAGAAATTTGCATATTTGTTTTCTTCTTCTTTTTTTCAGACTTAAATGCATTTATTGTTTGTTTAAATGTTATTAAAACAACAATATTTGCAATTATTAATTAAAATAAACAATAGAATTATTTTCACTAATCGCGCCGTTCACACTTCTTCCGCAACTGTTCCTCTACTGGTTTCATGCAAGTGCTTATGCACTGATTCGCTTTTTTCTGCCTTAAAAGATTATTAGGTTTGCATATAGTAATCGTCAAAGATATTTAATATAATTATAAATAATTATAACCAACATATTTAATATATTATAAAGATAATTATTTGTTTTTAATATTGAAATGTGAAATTAGTTTAAATCGCAAAAAATATGGTATTACAGAAAATGTTAATAACAGAGTACTTACAGAGTACAAAAAGACAATATGTATTAACAACATAAATATAAAATATAAAAAATACAATATATAAATAATATATAATAATAAAATACATAATATAGTAATATAAAAAAAAGAAGTGAATCATATCTGTTAAAAAACTCATAAGTTCTTAAATAGTGCTATCAATGGGGAAAACATGTCTGTTCAAACATATCAACAACAATCGAACTTATTATTTCATGTATGATCATTAATATTTTGTTAGTGCAGATCAATCAATAGTGCAATCAAGCCAATAGCGAATACAACATATTTTGCTTAAGCAAAACCATATAAAAAAAACATTAATCATATTAGAGCAAAGGCTGTTGTGTATGCCAAAAACATGCGTACGAAGGAAGCCAAAGACGAAATGAAGTTTTTTGCTACTAACTGGAAAGACAAACAGCAACAACACTTGTTCTACTATTCTTTGCTC